ACAGCACCCCATAGTAAAACAGCGTCTTACAAAATGTTCAGATTAATCCAATCACAACTTTCCACCGTATTACCCTAAGATTCAGCTCAATGTTAATCGTCGATCTGCGCAGGTCTCCCGAGTGATCTCTTGCCTTCAGGCTTCTCAACCAAGTACTTCGATGTCGCCAAAGCTTATAGCCTACAAACATGGCGTTAAGTATACATTAACAGTAAAGGGATGGAAGTGTGCATTACACATTATTTGTTTTGTAATGAGATTTAGGCTATTATTTTATTTAAAATGTGCATTGCCCAGTAAATACGCTAGACGTGGAGTATAAAGCGACGAAAAGATTAATAAATAAATAAATAAAATTACGTGAGGGAAATATTTCGAGGTAAACTAAGAAGAATTTTATTACAATGTTATGTGTCTCAACCAGTGGTCCACGGCTTTATTTATGCCGACTGAAATTTTTTTACACGCACTAGAAAATTACTATTTTACTCCTAGTGATTTTCTGTTTCCTTCCACGGACTAGGTTCTTCGTATGACTACATAAAGTGAAAGTGTTTCCTTGTCTCACTCTTCCTTCGAATTCATGCCTCATATTTCCCAACAATTATCGGATTTTTAATTAATGTTGGTAACGCGAATCGACATTAAAATTAGTCGTACGAATTTACTAATGTAAGATTCCACTCCTACACTCGCCATGGTGAATGTTATTACAACGTAAGTTTACGCGTCAATGTTTTGTGTTCGTACTTAACCGAACACCGCGGTCGAGTGGTTTGCATTCCAGCTTCGTATTCAGGAGGTACCCGGTTCAAATTTCTACCCGGAGACCGACCATCTTGCCTTTGGGTTTTCGTGGTTGTCAGCTCGTACTACAAATTAGGTCAATTCTGGTTACTTCCACATTCGTTTCAATTAATTATCTATTTATCATCCAATTATCCGATGTCATATTATCTAAGTCAGTGGTATTCAACCTTTTTTGTTCGCGTGCCCCCAGATATAATTTCTCTTCAAATTTGTACCCCCAAATTTGTTGGTATATAATTCAAGTTATACATAGTATATAATCTACATCTAAATTAAATAAATTACATTACTGATTATTCAGTGTTTATCATAAAATAATATATTTTTTTTAAATTTCACCTACCCCCTAAGATGTCTTCGCGTACCCCCAGATATAATTTCTCTTCAACTTTGTACCCCCAAAGTCGTTGGTGTATAATTCAAGTTATACATAATATATAATCTACATCTAAAATAAATTAAATAAATTACATTACTGATTATTCAGTCTTTATCATAAAATAATATATTTTTTTTAAATTTCACCTACCCCCTAAGATGTCTTCGCGTACCCCCAGATATAATTTCTCTTCAACTTTGTACCCCCAAAGTCGTTGGTGTATAATTCAAGTTATACATAATATATAATCTACATCTAAAATAAACTACTGAAGTCATCAAATAAGCTATAAATAAGTAAATATTTAGATGTTCCTCGAGTTAGAATATTTTATTTCAATAGGAAAACGTGTTTTGTGTGTTTTAAAAAATTTAATTCGTATATTTTTTTGGGTGGATACGTGTTAGCTTGTGTCGTGACTTGCAGACATTTATCGTGTAGTGCGAATCAGATGTACGATGCTCTGTCTATCGCTGACGGATGGATGTGCCATCGGTCTGCCTGCCTTCCTGCTGTAATTGTAAATGAGAGTCCTCCTCGTCGTATCGGAAATCGATAGGGCATCTTCAGTCCGTTCGCCAGTTGCTGTGACCCAGCAACTGGGCCACAACGCGGAAGCCTTCAGGTCCCAGGAAATACGATCAGTCCGTCCCGTTTAACCCCGTAGCGAATTCTTACTTGCAGATTCTTCTATTTACGAACTAGCGCCTTGTGGTCTGGTATAGGTTCTTACTGCTTCTTATAATCTCCCTGATAATGGAGGCAACAAGGACCTCCGAAACGTTGGTAAACTTCTACCAGACTACACGGAACTTCAACCCCAAAAGACAGCCATCTTAGTACAATTTATTGTGGCGCCATATTTTTAAATCTCGTTGAAAGAGTAAACTTTATAAAATATCTTTTATGAACTAAATTAAGCGCGGAAAAATTCTGACGGGGACAAATGCAGCCTCACTCCAGACTCCGCCACACCCCACCGTAAGCGTCACCATGACCTCTTTTACATTTCTTGCTACCAGAGGCGCCACCGTCAAAAGTTAATTCCAAATTTTTCCGCAACACACCGCGTGACGGACATCAGCTGTTATATTTGGAGTAAGTTTGTGAGGTTAGCAGCCGAATGTTTCCATGAACATCGCTCAGAGTTCAAAACTCATGCATTACAAATGGAAAAGCAGCCTTAATTAAATACCATCCTGGCCAACGTGTAAATTATTTCGTAAATTGAAATGGATGCACGTAAAAACAGATTCGTAACGGATACGTATTCATGACGAAATAATACGCGTGACCATTTTTAATCATGACGTAATGCAACAGGTACACTAATCGATGTTGTGACTTATAAATAACACAGATAGTAATACTTGGGATAGCTGCGGTTTCTGCGAATTGCCGCGTAAAACGAGAAACGTGTAACAGACGCCATATTGCTGTTAAACTGGTTCCACAATTCCTTCTTCTTTTAAGATCATTGTGTGCATCACATTCCCTGATAAATCTGGAGAGGTTTCGCCTCAGGTAATAAGCCTTAAAATTTGTCCGCTGATAGCGAAAGCGTGTATAATGAGAATCACATATACCAGGTGATTCAAAAAGGACTTTACAACTTTGAAAGCGTATAGAAATTTATTCAGAAGGCTTACAGAATCGGTTGAGGTGTCATTTTGTAGCAAAACAAATGAAGTTTGACTCACGTTGTGCTGTAGTACCGAATTCCGTCACCGCGAGCGCAAGCGGCAGTGCATTTGAAAATGGCTCGTAAAATTTTCTCATACCACAGTTAGACGAAGATGACCAAGAAGGACTCATTCACTTCCAGCAAGACGGCGCACCACCTCATTACGTCACAGAAGTCCGGGATTTCCTCAATAACCGTTTCCCAGGTCGGTGGATTGATCGAACAGGGTCGATGGTATGGCCACCTCGATTTTTTCTTATGGGGTTTCATTAAAGATCGTGTGTACCTGCCAATCTCATTGAGCTCAAAGCTCGAATCACCGCCGCAGTTGCAGAAGTGACACCGGATATGCTGGATCGTGTTTGGCAAGAAATTGATTTAAGGTGGGATGTCTGCAGTATCACCAATGGCAATCACGTCGAACCCAAAAGACTGGTTGAGGTCAAACTTGATTTGTTTTGCTACAAAATGACACCTCAACCGATTCTGTAAGCCTTCTGAATAAATTTCTATACACTTTCAAAGTTGTAAAGTCCTTTTTGAATCACCCTGTATTAAAGGCCTTTGTGGTTGGTGATGTGACTTTTACAATTCGTAAGGAACAAATCTTGAGGGTTTTATAAGCGAAGATGTAAAATGTGAAATTTTAGTGACAGTCTTAATTCACCGTTGTCAGGGTAAAATGACATAAGTCCCCCCACCCCCCCAAAAAAATAAACAACAACTGAAGTGTGGTTTACTGATTCACGGCATATATTTCATTAAACCTGTAATTCTTTAAAACTATCACTTGAGCTTAAAAAGTTCGTAAGTAAATTGTGTAATCATATCCATGTAAATTTTATAAATAGAAAATCAATAAACCTGGTTTGTGGTAAATTCCCTAATACCGTTTTAAGTTTCGTGAACGTGCAGGACCTACGTACACTCCTTTACCCTAGGACCGGCTGATTACCCTATTAACATGAATTACCCAGAAGTTCTTGAAGCCTCGTTAAACTTCAATGCTGTAATTCAATCTTCGGGTAAAACGGGACGGAAGCATTTGCGACAGGGGCTATTGAACTTTCTGATTTCAGGGGAAGCACGAGAGAGAGACTACAGTCACGTGATTAAAGTTTAAAATTTTGTATTTTCAAAGCCTCGACGACGTTGAAACGAAATATTGACAAGTCTAAAACCGTATGATACTTATTTAAGAGGCGACCGTTTTTCAGGGTTTGGGGTTCTCACGGGGGCGAGTTTGAAGATGGCCGTCTTCTG